TCTACCTGTCTAACTCACCTGACCGCTCTGATGAATGGAGAGGCCCCGCCCCCCCGGTGACGTCACAGGCCAACCTGAGTTTCAGGCTTTGAGAGAAACGCGTCGAGACCGAAGCAGCAGGTGAGACTCTTTGGTTACTTTAAACTCACACAAACCTTAATCTAACTGTAATCATTATGTACTCTTCCTCTTCGTCTTCATCTTCCTCCTCTTCTTCTCAATGTGTTCCTGAAACTGTAATAATCTGAGTTTCCTCTTTTGAACCCTCCTGATGAGTTCCTGCTGTGTGAGTGTCTGTGTGTTCGACCTGCTGCTCTCTGATACATCCCATAATACCCTGCTGTCTGTGTGTTCGACCTGCTGCTCTCTGATACATCCCATAATACCCTGCTGTCTGTGTGTTCGACCTGCTGCTCTCCTGGAGCTGATACATCCCATAATACCCTGCTGTCTGTGTGTTCGACCTGCTGCTCTCCTGGAGCTGATACATCCCATAATGCCCTGCTGGCTCCAGCATCATCTGTTGTTGTTTATTAAACATGTGGAGGAAATAGCTTGTTGTTTACTGCCAGTGTTCTGTGTCTCTGAGTCACATGTTCACAGTGTAACGTCATGTTTGTGTTCATAGTAACAGTCATTTTAATATCTGTATATATTCCTTAATATATTTATATCATATATAAATATATTTTTGTAGTATTTTTTAAATATAGTTTTATTTATTTTGCATCTTTTTAAATAATGTTATATTCCATGAACGAGCTGTTACCCTGAACGCACCTCGCATGGTGCTGGCTAGGCCACGCCCCCTTTTAATCACAATCAGGTGTGCGTGCGTGTGCGTGTGGAATGCAGTCTGTCCTCTCTGTGGCAGAAGTCCGATTCAGCTTTTATTCATTTCTGGAGGATATCAACAAATCAGTTCTTAGTGAGAATACAAATTGTTGATATCAGAAATACCAACTAATTGAAATGAATGAGAAACACGATGAGTCTCACCGGCTCGCATCTCACCGGCTCGCATCTCATTTCCGATATCAGAAATACGTTACAACAAGTTTCTATTCAATTTCTGATAGCCTCCAGAAATGAATAAAAGCTAAATCGGCAGCATGTCTGGATAACAGAATGAAACTTTATTGATAAGAACAGTGTGATGAAGCTTCAGTGAGGAACAGCTGACTCGGGTTTGAGTCATCACTATCGATCAGGAGAGACGTCAGACATCAGAGAGTTGAGCTCAGACTCAGGAGGAGCCAGAGAGTTTAGAGAACATCTGATCATCAGCAGGGCCGGCCCTAGACTTTTGGGGGCCCTAAGCGAGCTTTGGCTTGGGGGCCCCCCTCACTCTAGCGCGTTCTCACTACACACAACACGGAACCAACTTTTGTCTTATGATGTTAGCATAAGCACACATATTGTATACATAAGCATGTAAACACCGTGGACCTAACATCCTCTTAAGTTCAAAGCATCAATCTGGTGCACTTTGAGAGCAACATTGAGAGATCTATGGATCCATCTCTCAACACCATATGAAACAGAACTGGAAACAGATTTTTCTTTATGGATATTTTACAAATCACTTAAACTGTATTCTTGTTTTGTCATATAGTATTTCATAACTGTTTTTCATTTATTCTCTCTGGCTGTCCATCTCATAATGTTCACATAGAAACTAGCTGTCAATAGGAATATCATTCAGAAGAATTATAATTTCTTGCAAAGATCTGTCACAAAAAGAGGTTGCCCATTTAAATGCAGGTGTTGTTATGGCAACGTCAGTGGCCAAACAGCCACATGTACTGCTGCAAATACGTTCAATCATGCTGTCGACACGTAAAGCAGTGGCAACTATGCCACCATTTCAGCTGACTTTTTCTCAGAAATACTGTCACATAACATCCATATCTTTCAGTGCTAGGTTGATGCTTAGCTAAGCTAACTATGAAACACTTTAACTGACAGGACTCAGGATCAACTGTGTACTGTAAGGTAGCTTCTAGCTTCATGTCGAACAGTAAGTCAACATTTCCCAGAGAGCTTTCTTTGAAATCACCAGGTAACGCTAAAAAACTTTACATTTAGATTGTATGACAAAGTGTTTATTTAATATATCTGGCTAGCTATAGCTACTTGCTAACGGTTTAGCTTACCCCGCGATTCAAAGTAACGTCAACGTAGCTGTAATTTATGCTTTGCTTACATGTTTGCATAACTTGGAAGTTTACTGGCATGTACAGACCTTGTTTACCTGGCTCGAGTGCTGGCTCTGGGGTTGTTGTGTGAGCCACCACTTGAGAATATTAGTCTTTTTTAAGAAAAAATGTTCTTATGTCCATCTTCAAAAACTCTGAGTCTGAGACTGACAGTTTATTTTAAACATTGTCACAGCTCACAGGATAGGTACCTGTCAGCCAATAAGACAGATGTTTATTTCCATTCAACTCTCTGGTTGGTCTGGTGTCTTGCCTCTGTTGCATTCACTGAACACGGGAAATTACAATCCTGCCATCCTCTCATGATGAGGTTCAGGTAAAGCACGTTTAATGTATTATATTTTTGACTCAATAATATAATACATGACTTTGAGAGTAGGCAATCTAGGCATATTAACACAATTAATTAAACATACTTATCACGGCGACGGTGTACTGAGATTATTATTATTTTATTCATTTTTTTGTTGTTGTTGCTAGGGGGCCCCTTAGTGGTTGCGGGGCCCTAAGCGGCCGCTTATGTCGCTTAATGGGTCGGGCCGGCTCTGGGGGTAGACTTCAAACAGAGGGGGACTCATTCAGATACAAATACTTTTCAGAAAGTTCCAGAATCCTGACTTTTTTTCACATCAAAAACTACAAATTCTGTAAAAAATAAAACATCGGAATCATTTTTCTCAGAGTTCTGACAAAAGTTGTCACCTCTTCTTCTTCTTCGGAGAATATCGGGAAAAAAAAGATTTCCCAGAATATTCTTTCCACAAATTCTAGAAAAAACTTTATTTTTCTCAAAATGTTGCCTTTTTTAAAGAATTTAGAAAAAATTCAGAATTCTGACTTTTTTCTCAGAACAGAAAAAAAACACATTAATTCTGAGAATTAATGGATTTCAGAATTTATATATTTTTCTCAGATATCAACATTTGTTCTACATGTGACCCGGATCCTCTTCAGATATTCACTTTCAGCCTTTTCTCAAAATGTTCAGAATATCACACTTTACTTCAGATATTAATGTCTCTCTCTCTCTCTCTCTCTCTCTCTCTGTCTCTGTCTCTGTCTCTGTCTCTGTCTCTGTCTCTCGTCTCTGTCTCTGTCTCTGTCTCTGTCTCTGTCTCTGTCTCTGTCTCTCTCTCTCTCCTCTCAGATGATGGCTGAGGCTCCAGATCTGTTCTCTGAGCAGGAGCTAACCTGCTCCATCTGTCTGGACCTGTTTGATGAACCAGTTTCTACTCCATGTGGACACAACTTCTGCCAGGTAACACACACACACGCATGCACGAACACACACACGCACACACACACACACGCACGAACACACACGCACGAACACACACACACACACACGCACGAACACACACACACACGAACACACACACACACGCACGAACACACGCACACACACACACGAACAAACACTCGCACACACACAAACACACGCACACACACGAACACACACACACACACACACACACACGCACAAACACACCATGGATGTATAATAAGAACTGGATACAGCGTGAGAGGCAGAGCCTCATTCATTCCTATGAGAGCTGCTCATTGGCGCATGAAGATAAAATGGCCCAACTTTTGAGAGAGCGAAACGTCACAGATTACCCAGCATGCCTGAGAAGTACCTGTATGTGCGCTCATTGCGCATGCGCAACTTTATCAAGCACGTCAATTTGTACACGTAACAGCACCGCGCGTTCATGATAGCATGGTACTGGATTGTTATATGATGGATTTGATATTAACGAGGCGGCAGTTAGCAGCTAGCGGCTAGCTAGTAATTATGCTAATTTACACATCAATCGTTATGTACTTTTATATTACGCTGTAACAGGATCTAGTGATATCCAAGCAACAGAGCTTCATTTAGTGGGAATGCTGATACAGCATTCCCACTTTAAAATGTTACACATCTTTCTGACATTATTCGTGTAACACAACTTTTAAATCTGATTCTTACTTTTAGAGATATTAAACATTGTTCAGACCTTGGTAAAGAGGCTTTCTTCAGATTTTAACATTAACTAGAGTGCGTGATGTCACAGCTAGAGGGTAGGAAATCTTGAAATGTGCCTTCATATTTCTTTTTAAAACTGCCATAATTCCCAAACCCTACATTCCTGAGACATCATTTTTCATGACAAACGTAGGAAAACATCTCGTAGCTTGAAAAATGACAAATAATTAAACAAAATGCCTCTTGAGGGCATGAAGTGACAAAAACGTTCAACATGTCTCCATTAAAGCCCATTGTAATTTCAGGCAGATATTTCCTCACAGCAGCAGCCGCACACCTTTAGTTAAACTGCCAAAAAGGCCACATTATTAACCCGAAAGTACACAAAAATTACACTTCAGATATTCAACTTCCTTGACATGCTTCACGCTTTGAAATGTCACCAATATCTGTTATCGTTCTTCCACAAAACGTTCACATGTAAGAGGTTTATCTCTCATTCAGAACAATGCAAATGCTCTCCTCTCACTGATTACTGCACGTTGACACGTCGTTAGCTCAACTATAAACACCTGTGTCATGGAACACGATGATGTCATCACTCCAACTGACATGCTCAGAGCAACAGACTTCAGATAATGGTTAATGGTCTGGCCCTCAACAGCTCTACGTCAATTATGGCGTCTCATCATATGCCGTTTCTATGGAAACGCATCCCTCGCCATGAAACACGATGTCGCTGTAACTCCAATGGACACTGTCCGATCGTACCCAAACTTCGCTTGTATATCACCGGTCCATGCCTCAACAGCTCTACGCCAAATCTGAGATCTCACCATAGGCTATTTCCATGGAAACGCATCCCTCGCCAAAAAACACGATGTTGTCGTAACTGATATGAAAATGGTCTAAACACCACCAGACTTCAGATAATGGTTAATGGTCCAGCCTTCAACATGTCTGTGCCATTGGTGAGTTTTCCTCAAATGCCGTTGGCATGGCAACACAATGCTCGCCATGAAACACAGTTTTCTCATAACTTCAGTGAAAATGCTCCAAACAGCCCAAAACTTCACAGGTTTGGTAACGATGCAACCATCAACATATCTAAGCGTATTATGGGGTGTCATCAAATGCCGTTGCCATGGCGACAGATCATTCGCCATCAAGTTAGTTCAATAGTTTGCAGTTCAAATATTCTGCTGCTTTTCCAAGCCTTTTTACTTTCTTTTCTCTCATCACACATTCAAGCCCCCAGTGTTCATGTATCATTTCAATCTCAATTCTTCACTTTCTTCTTACACATTACATTTCAGCATAGCAGTTCAGCGTCAGCTTTTCAGCATAAAGCATTCCCACTAGCAATTTCTTCAGGAATTGCATTCTCTAGTTTAGCATGATACTTGTGTGGGTTGTACTTGAAACCACTTGGTAATATATAATATATATGTATTTTGAGTTATGATCAATTGTGAGTTAAATCTTTATCTAAAAAGTAAAGCTGATGATGGATTACTGTGGTGGAGTTAAAATAACAATAGTCTATTTCTCTTTGAAATGTGATGGAGTAAAAGGATAGTAACTAAGATTATTCATGTTACGTACCCAACAAGTAACTAAAACGTATAGTACTTGAAGGAAAGGTGTACAATGTTTCCATAAATACCAATATCACACACTACAACACAGACTATAACACCCCTTGTTGTTAAATACTAACCATCTGCAATATATTTGTAATTACACTTTCGTAGAGCTTTGACTTTTTCAGCTGAATAAATATTATAACTCGATGGTTTTGTTCAGCATTGAGCTCACTGTTGAGCTTTATGTTGTGCCTTCTCCTGTGCTCTGAAATCAAAATGTGGATAAGCATAAAACAACACTAAAATAAACACGACAATACAACTTGTTATTTGTTTTTTGACAACAAAGGTTGTTCATTTGTGTGTATAAATATACAACACAGGCTTCATATACAATTATAATTAATACAACTGTTAATTTGATTAGAGCTTTGAAACATATATCTTTATTGATATATGTATAAGTATGACGACTTCCCCGGGCGATATCATATGGTATAGCGAATGAATCAAACTGGTTCAAAACGCGTTGTGCCCACATGCAAAGGTTGTACGCTCTGGCTTATCCCTGCATGGTATTATATCTCTCTAGGTCGTCCTCAGACGAGCCCTCCATCGTCGCTTCCAGTCATCCCGGTTCTCCATAGATCTGGCCAGTTCATTGGTACTTTATATAGTCATAGCAAACAGCTACGTTCAACTCCTTTAATGGTATATTGCAAGTGCAATAAGAAGCTACAGGGACGTTAATCTACGTCGGTAATATTAACTTTGTTTAATACAACATTTACGGTACAAGATTTAATCATACAGCCCATGTAGTATAATATTTTACAAATGATGAATTACAGCAAACATATGCAATATATCCATTATTACAGCTCCGTGGGCTGGCAGTAAGGTGATATGGGTCCGTTCTTATTGTGCATCCATGGGTAAAGATAAACGCATGTAGTGCTGAACACGTAACATGAACGTGCCGGGCGGCGCGGTCCCGTGGGTTAGATGCGCATTCATAATGCAGAGGGAAATAACTCGCAGAATAACGTTATTAGCACATTTTACAACTTGAGGAACGAATGTTTTTAATAAGGGCTATACAAGTGTTCATACTGGGTAGTTTATTTAGTTTAAAAAAAATTATCCAACGATTTACAGACCACTCTTTCCCCATGTAAGTCAATGGGAAAAAGTGTTTCCGGGCCTGGCAACCAAAAGGAAGTGTAGTACCGCCGTTTGGCCACTACGAATATTTTCAACACACACACACACACACACACACACACACACACACACTCACTGAAAAATAACAAAAATAAGTGTAAATATCTATATTGTGATCTAATCTCTTCTCCTCCTCCTATTATCTCTTCTTCCTCCTCCTCCTCCTCCTCCTCTCTCCTCTTCCCCCTCCTCCTCCTCTCAGGTGTGTATAGGAGGATATTGGGCGTCCTCCTCTCTTTGCACCTGTCCTCTGTGTAAGCGTGAGTTTGAAGAGCGCCCTCAGCTCAGCGTGAACAAAGTCTTCGCTCTGATAGCAGATAAATATAAAGTTGGTCATTATGGAGCTGCCGGGCCGCCTGTGTTGCTAGGTAACGGTACGCCTGTACTCCCGGGCGCCAAGGCGATGCCCCCCGGTGGTGACAGCACGGAGGTGGTGTGGTGTGATGTGTGTACGGGGGGCAAGCAGCTGGCCGTCAGCTCCTGCCTCACCTGCACCGCCTCGTACTGCAGAGAGCACCTGCAGCCTCACCTGAGCTCCGCTTTCTACTCCAAACACCCTCTGATGGAGCCGCTGGAGGCCCTGAAGGGGCGGACCTGCAGGACGCACCGCCGCCTAATGGAGGTGAGGGGCATTACACTCATATATACACACAGTAACACACATTAACCTGCAGGACGCACCGCCGCCTAATGGAGGTGAGGGGCATTACACTCATATATACACACAGTAACACACATTAACCTGCAGGACGCACCGCTGCCTGCTGGAGGTGAGGGGCATTACACTCATATATACACACAGTAACACACACTAACGTGCAGTACGCACCGCCGCCTAATGGAGGTGAGGGGCATTACACTCATATATACACACAGTAACACACACTAACCTGCAGTACGCACCGCTGCCTGCTGGAGGTGAGGGGCATTACACTCATATATACACATAGTAACACACATTAACCTGCAGGACGCACCGCTGCCTGCTGGAGGTGAGGGGCATTACACTCATATATACACACAGTAACACACACTAACGTGCAGTACGCACCGCCGCCTAATGGAGGTGAGGGGCATTACACTCATATATACACACAGTAACACACACTAACCTGCAGTACGCACCGCTGCCTGCTGGAGGTGAGGGGCATTACACTCATATATACACACAGTAACACACATTAACCTGCAGGACGCACCGCTGCCTAATGGAGGTGAGGGGCATTACACTCATATATATACACACAGTAACACACACTAACGTGCAGTACGCACCGCCGCCTAATGGAGGTGAGGGGCATTACACTCATATATACACACAGTAACACACACTAACCTGCAGGACGCACCGCTGCCTAATGGAGGTGAGGGGCATTACACTCATATATACACACAGTAACACACATTAACCTGCAGGACGCACCGCTGCCTAATGGAGGTGAGGGGCATTACACTCATATATACACACAGTAACACACACTAACGTGCAGTACGCACCGCCGCCTAATGGAGGTGAGGGGCATTACACTCATATATACACACAGTAACACACACTAACCTGCAGTACGCACCGCTGCCTGCTGGAGGTGAGGGGCATTACACTCATATATACACACAGTAACACACATTAACCTGCAGGACGCACCGCTGCCTAATGGAGGTGAGGGGCATTACACTCATATATACACACAGTAACACACACTAACGTGCAGTACGCACCGCCGCCTAATGGAGGTGAGGGGCATTACACTCATATATACACACAGTAACACACACTAACGTGCAGTACGCACCGCCGCCTAATGGAGGTGAGGGGCATTACACTCGTATATACACACAGTAACACACATTAACGTGCAGTACGCACCGCCGCCTAATGGAGGTGAGGGGCATTACACTCGTATATACACACAGTAACACACACTAACGTGCAGTACGCACCGCCGCCTAATGGAGGTGAGGGGCATTACACTCATATATACACACAGTAACACACACTAACCTGCAGTACGCACCGCTGCCTGCTGGAGGTGAGGGGCATTACACTCATATATACACACAGTAACACACACTAACCTGCAGGACGCACCGCTGCCTAATGGAGGTGAGGGGCATTACACTCATATATACACACAGTAACACACACTAACGTGCAGTACGCACCGCCGCCTAATGGAGGTGAGGGGCATTACACTCATATATACACACAGTAACACACATTAACCTGCAGGACGCACCACTGCCTAATGGAGGTGAGGGGCATTACACTCATATATACACACAGTAACACACACTAACGTGCAGTACGCACCGCTGCCTAATGGAGGTGAGGGGCATTACACTCATATATACACACAGTAACACACACTAACCTGCAGGACGCACCGCTGCCTAATGGAGGTGAGGGGCATTACACTCATATATACACACAGTAACACACATTAACCTGCAGTACGCACCACTGCCTAATGGAGGTGAGGGGCATTACACTCATATATACACACAGTAACACACACTAACCTGCAGGACGCACCGCTGCCTAATGGAGGTGAGGGGCATTATACTCATATATACACACAGTAACACACATTAACCTGCAGTACGCACCACTGCCTAATGGAGGTGAGGGGCATTACACTCGTATATACACACATTAACGTGCAGTACGCACCGCCGCCTAATGGAGGTGAGGGGCATTACACTCATATATACACACAGTAACACACACTAACGTGCAGTACGCACCGCTGCCTAATGGAGGTGAGGGGCATTACACTCATATATATACACACAGTAACACACATTAACCTGCAGTACGCACCACTGCCTAATGGAGGTGAGGGGCATTACACTCGTATATACACACAGTAACACACATTAACGTGCAGTACGCACCGCCGCCTAATGGAGGTGAGGGGCATTACACTCATATATACACACAGTAACACACACTAACGTGCAGTACGCACCGCTGCCTAATGGAGGTGAGGGGCATTACACTCATATATACACACATTAACACACACTAACCTGCAGGACGCACCGCTGCCTAATGGAGGTGAGGGGCATTACACTCATATATACACACTGTAACACACATTAACCTGCAGGACGCACCGCCGCCTAATGGAGGTGAGGGGCATTACACTCATATATACACACAGTAACACACACTAACCTGCAGGACGCACCGCCGCCTAATGGAGGTGAGGGGCATTACACTCATATATACACACAGTAACACACACTAACCTGCAGTACGCACCGCCGCCTAATGGAGGTGAGGGGCATTACACTCATATATACACACAGTAACACACATTAACCTGCAGTACACACCACTGCCTAATGGAGGTGAGGGGCATTACACTCGTATATACACACAGTGACACACACTAACGTGCAGTACGCACCGCTGCCTAATGGAGGTGAGGGGCATTACACTCATATATACACACAGTAACACACATTAACCTGCAGTACACACCACTGCCTAATGGAGGTGAGGGGCATTACACTCATATATACACACAGTAACACACATTAACCTGCAGTACGCACCGCCGCCTAATGGAGGTGAGGGGCATTACACTCATATATACACACAGTAACACACATTAACCTGCAGTACGCACCGCCGCCTAATGGAGGTGAGGGGCATTACACTCGTATATACACACAGTAACACACATTAACCTGCAGGACGCACCGCTGCCTAATGGAGGTGAGGGGCATTACACTCATATATACACACAGTAACACACATTAACCTGCAGGACGCACCGCCGCCTAATGGAGGTGAGGGGCATTACACTCATATATACACACAGTAACACACATTAACCTGCAGGACGCACCGCCGCCTAATGGAGGTGAGGGGCATTACACTCATATATACACACAGTAACACACATTAACCTGCAGGACGATCCACCGCCTAATGGAGGGAGCACACCCATATTAATCATTAGGGATGAAATGCTGACTCATGTTAGGTTTGAGGACTCATTCCTGCACCTCTCTGTTTTGATAATTTATGAATAGGTCCTGAACTTGTTGATAACCTCCCGATGTGTTCACTTGTCCAGGTTTACTGTCGGACATGTCAGCGCTGCATCTGTGCCATCTGTGTCCTGGAGGAACATCGAATTCACAAAACTGTCTCGGTTCAGACGGAGAGACTCGGCAAACAGGTAGAGATCACTGTCACTGTCACTGAGACGGTTCATGACTGAATGATTACAGTGTGTCCTCCTCTGTTCAGAAACATGTGGCGAGGACGGAGCAGGAGATCCTCAACCGGATCAGAGAGAAGGAGCTTCATGTGACGGAGCTGAAGAGGAAGCTGGAGGCAGTCAAGGTCTCTCTCTCTCTCTCTCTCTTTATCATATAGTGTGCTTTGGAGTCAAGGTCTCTCTCTCTCTCTCTCTTTATCAAAAAGTGTGCTATGGAGTCAAGGTCTCTCTCTCTCTCTCTTTATCATATAGTGTGTTCTGGAGAATGACCCGTTAAGTCTCAGTCAGAGTTACACAGAATAATGAGTTTCTCAAACTTCAGAAAGCTTCCAATTAGCTTCCTAACTGTGAGCTTCGTCTTTAAGATGATCTTTTTCCTCTAAGCTAACTATTTAAACTCTAGCTAACAATGCTCACCTGCTATCTGTCAGCTAACTCTCTCATTGAGGCTGTTCACACTTTTTACCTCACATGTTCAAGTGTTATCTTTAGCTACCGACTACAACTGTCATCTTTAGCTTCTTATTACTCCAACTTAAATTCAGGCTGTAGGCTGCTATCTGCCGGCTGTAGGCTGCTATCTGCCGGCTGTAGGCTGCTATCTGTCGGCTGTAGGCTGCTATCTGCCGGCTGTAGGCTGCTATCTGCCGGCTGTAGGCTGCTATCTGCCGGCTGTAGGCTGCTATCTGCCGGCTGTAGGCTGCTATCTGTCGGCTGTAGGCTGCTATCTGTCGGCTGTAGGCTGCTATCTGTCGGCTGTAGGCTGCTATCTGCCGGCTGTAGGCTGCTATCTGCCGGCTGTAGGCTGCTGCTATCTGCCGGCTGTAGGCTGCTGCTATCTGCCGGCTGTAGGCTGCTATCTGCCGGCTGTAGGCTGCTATCTGCCGGCTGTAGGCTGCTATCTGTCGGCTGTAGGCTGCTATCTGCCGGCTGTAGGCTGCTATCTGCCGGCTGTAGGCTGCTATCTGCCGGCTGTAGGCTGCTATCTGTCGGCTGTAGGCTGCTATCTGCCGGCTGTAGGCTGCTATCTGCCGGCTGTAGGCTGCTATCTGCCGGCTGTAGGCTGCTATCTGCCGGCTGTAGGCTGCTATCTGTCGGCTGTAGGCTGCTATCTGCCGGCTGTAGGCTGCTATCTGTCGGCTGTAGGCTGCTATCTGTCGGCTGTAGGCTGATATCTGTCGGCTGTAGGCTGATATCTGTCGGCTGTAGGCTGCTATCTGTCGGCTGTAGGCTGCTATCTGTCGGCTGTAGGCTGCTATCTGTCGGCTGTAGGCTGCTATCTGCCGGCTGTAGGCTGCTATCTGTCGGCTGTAGGCTGCTATCTGCCGGCTGTAGGCTGCTATCTGCCGGCTGTAGGGCTGCTATCTGCCGGCTGTAGGCTGCTATCTGCCGGCTGTAGGCTGCTATCTGCCGGCTGTAGGCTGCTATCTGCCGGCTGTAGGCTGCTATCTGTCGGCTGTAGGCTGCTATCTGCCGGCTGTAGGCTGCTATCTGTCGGCTGTAGGCTGCTATCTGCCGGCTGTAGGCTGCTATCTGCCGGCTGTAGGCTGCTATCTGTCGGCTGTAGGCTGATATCTGCCGGCTGTAGGCTGCTATCTGTCGGCTGTAGGCTGATATCTGCCGGCTGTAGGCTGATATCTGCCGGCTGTAGGCTGCTATCTGCCGGCTAACAGTTCCAGATGTTTCAGTGTTAATAGTAATGGTTTGTATCTGCAGAGCTACGCAGAGGGTGAGCGGGGGGAGGTGGATCAGCTGCTGGACCACCTGTCCTCAGCGCTGGACCGGGTCCGGACTCAGGTGTCGGGCGGGATCCAGAACCAGCTGGACACTGTGATGTCACAGGGGGAGGGGCTGGTGAGGCGTCTGGAGGCGGAGCTTAGCCAGCTGACGGACAGGAGAGCCACGCTGGAGGATCAGGCCGTCAGTCAGGACCACATCCTGTTCCTGCAGGTGAGAGAGTCACCTGAGAGTAGGGATGGGTATCGTTTGAAATGTATCGATTCCGATTCTGCTTATCGATTCCGGTTCTTATCGATTCCCTGTTTCGATTCCAAAATTGTAAAAGAAAGAGGTCAAACGTTTAGATAACAAAAATATCTTTATTCTTTTAAGCTTTAACTGACATTTTACAAATAAAAAATATACATGCAATACAAATGTATTGCACAATAGCTGTGCTTTATGTTAACTGAGCCTGTGGCAAGCTATCAACAGGCGTTACTCTGTGCCTTGTCTTTTTCTTTTTTAGTGTAGTGGAGCCTCACTTTAGAGCGTTTACCACGACCCATCTTTGGTGTTATGAAGTGACTGAGCTCGTGAACTGTCTACGGGGGGAGCCTCGCTGTGGGGCAACTGTGGCCCTCTGTCGCCTGTCAGCGCAACTTACATGATGCCGTTTAAAAAAATTAAGGGCGGTGCCGGCCGTCAGCGTACCGAGCCGGCTGTCAACGGCCCGCTGACGACCGGCCGTTCTGTGATTCTCCAGAACACACAGATGGCCAGTCCGTACCCTGTATTCCACCGGGTCACCGCGGCGCAAACGGACCCGGTGGAATACAGGGTCTACCGCGTTTAGGAACCGTTAAGCAGAACCGAAATTGTGTATTTTGTATGGGTACCCGGTACCCGGCATTTTCTTATCGGTTCTCATCTGGAACCGAGTTTCGGTTCCCAACCCTACCTGAGAGTCACCTGATCCGACAGGAAACACCGACTGTCTGCTCTGTGTTTGAACATCTCGTTACTCTCTACTGTGTAGAGTTACTGTGTAGTTTACAAAACGTTCCCTCTCCACCCAGAGTTACGAGGAGGCGACGTCCCCCCTAGGGGAGGAGCAGCGGGGGGAGGAAGAGCCAGATTTCTCCCTGCACTTCCAGCTGGGGGAGGTGAAGAGCTCCCTGCTGGAGGTCAAGGAGAAGATGGAGGACATCCGGATGGGAGAGGTCCAGCCCAGAGGCTCCGGTGAGATCAATGTGTTTCAGGGTCCATTAGAAAACTGATGTCTTTGTGTGAAAATATACAACATAATAATGTTTGAATATATCTGTGCTTCAGGCTCGGCTGGAGAGCTGATGATGGCAGAGAGCCTGCTCAGTCTGAGAGGAAGCTCAGCCAGTCTGAGGAAGAGCCAGTGGAGTCTGAAGGGTGAGGATTCAGCATGTTCTATACTATATAACATCTACTCACCTTTATCTCAGAGTCCTGCTGCATGCCTGTGAGGGCTTTTATTGTGAAGTAATGACTTCCTGTCTGCCCTCAGATCTGAAGAAGATCAAGCCGGTCTCAGGTTCGTCTTTCAATCAATTCATAAACATATTGTTAATTAAATATAATTATGATTTTAACCAGCTTCATGTCTGTTACAGGACACAAGAAGGCTCGAGTTTACATGGGTGAGTCTTTAATGATTTCTCTTTTATCTTATCTACTGTCTCATAACTGTAGCAGAAAACCTGCAACTATCTCCTTCACAGATAATTAGGAGATAGTTTTGATGTTGAACGTCTGACTCTGTATGACTGTCAGTAACACAGGAAGTGCTTCATGGTGTGTTCACCTGTCTCAGCCTCCTCACATCTTGTGTCTCCTCAGAGGACGTGACTCTGAACCCGGTCACAGCGTACCCGTTCCTCATCCTGTCGGAGGACAGGAAGCAGGTGAAGAGAGGAGAGAAGCTTCAGTTCTACAGAAACTCCCAGCAGCGCTTTGACGTGTGGTCGTGCATCAGCGGGAAGGAGAGCTTCAGCACGGGGAGGCACTACTGGGAG